GCCCCGCCGGGCCCCGCCCCCCGCCGAGTGCATGAGGTTGACGCTACTTTGTTGCACCTGGAGGGAAGAACGTATGGGAGAGGAAGGTGCGCGGGCCGGCGGGCGGGCGGGGGCGCCGCCGCCGGGGCTGGGGGCACGGGAGGGCCGGGCCGGGCCGCGCGGAGGCCGGGTCTGCCGCGAGGCCGCGCCCCTGTCGCCTCGGGGATGAGCTCGTCCTGCCGAAGCCCGCAGGCCCCTCCCTGACATCCTCCCACCCGCTTTCCCCCTCCCCGGCCCGGGCGAGCTGCCCTCCTGCTGGCCGGGGGCCCCTCGTCCCTTTCATCCCCGCCTGCCCCCACCCTCCGGCTGCCGGCACCCGGAGGAGTCCCAGGCACTGCCGGTCCAGCGCCGGCCTCCATCCGCGTGCTCTGTCCGCCCAGGCCTCGCCCTGGGGCCACCCTTTATCCAGTCTCTAGCCGGCCTGGGAAGAAAGAGTGGCTGGGGAAGCCCAAGCTTCGGGTCCCAGTGGCCGCCCCGCACCTCCCCTGCTCTGTGACCTTGAGCCAGGCGCTAACTGCCTGGACCTCAGTTTCCCCGTCTGTAAAGTTGGGGGGCCCGGTAGTTGGCCCCCGGTACTGGTGGTTGGGGGCCGGATAGGCGGAGGGAGATACGCGTGCCGGGAACCGGAGGCGGTGTTCTGCGGGACCCTGGCTCCCGTCCCTCTCCCTCTCCCTGCACCGGTGGTGCAGTCTTGGCTGGGAGCATGACTGGCGTCCTGGCCTCCTTAGCCCCCTCCCCTCACGGGGCCCAGGGCTCAGGGCTGCACTACAGTTAGGGCTCAAAGACCCCAAGACTTCCCCAGCCCTGGACAGGGTCTGGGGTCTCCTTCCCTGGGTTTCCTTTGCTGATCCATCACACAGGCCCACCTGGTGCCCAGGCAGGTCCTTGCTATGCCTGCCCTGCCACCTCCACTACCACCAGCCCTCCCCAGGCACATGGAAACCTGCTGGGGGCAAGGGCCCATCTCCCCATTGTCCCTACCTCAGGTCCCTGGGTCTTCACAGAGGGGCAGGCCGTCGTGACCTTGGAGCCTAGCTGTGTGACCCGGCAAGCCGTCCCTGTCTGAGGCTCAGTCTCCCCCTCTGCACAATGGGGAGGGGCAGGCCCAGGGCATCTTACAGGGCCCACCAGCTGCAAGGGTGCCAGGCCCCAGGGATGACTAAGCATGCCTGGTGGCTGACTTGAGGAGGTGCCAGGCCTCCCTGGGGCAGGTGTCTGGGAGTGCCTGGCTCTGCAGCCCCTGCCCTTGTGAGGCCAGGGCACAGCCAAGGGTCAGTTAGGGCCAGCACCTCCAGGCTTCCTGCCTTTCCCCTCCCAGGGGGCTTCAGCCCACAGTGTACCAACCCAGCCCTGTCCAGTCTCTGCCTTTTGAAGGGCCCTCTTAGTACTTCTTCCTGGGCAGACAGGGAAGGAAAGGGGGCTGTGACAAGAGTGTTGCCCACTGCCTCCTTTCTGAATCCACTGCTTGCTCTCTCCCCACTTACCTTGCCAGATCCCAAGTTGAAGAATGCTGTTGCTGGAGGGTGGTCATCTGATCCCCCTTCTCAGTTTACAGAAAGGGAAACTGAGGCCCAGAGAGGATTGGTAACTTAGCCAGTACCTCAGGAAGACTCCCAGGCCAACGTCCTTTCTCCTGCTTTGGCACAGTGACTGCTCGGTGTGTGCTGCACGTGTGTGCACACAAGGATTTGTGCAGGTGCTTGTGGGGTCAGCGGGGCCTGCACGTGCCGCGCCTCCTAAGGATGCCTCCCGACTCCCTTTCCACCCTGCAGGAAGCGAGTTGCCCGTGTGTGCGAGCTGCGGCCAGAGGATCTATGACGGCCAGTACCTCCAGGCCCTGAGTGCCGACTGGCATGCAGACTGCTTCAGGTAGGTCGGGGTGCAGGGCACCCAGGGCCCCTGTTGCCCTAAGCAAGGCCTGCCAGGGAGGACACGCTGGGCAAAGAATCTGGGAGATCTGGATAGCCCCCCTGGTGCTGTCCCTGGTTGTGACTTCCCACAAGTCCTTGGCCTCAGTTTCCCCGTTTGTAAAATAAGGGGCTTTGACTAGAAGGTCCCTAACAGCCTCCTTGTCTTGTTATTTTAGACCTCTAAGGAGAGGATGGGAGACCCCTGCATTTCAGCTAGTACTACCAAGGCCTGCTGACCTAGGCAGGGGGAGGAGGTGGGGGAAGTGTTCCCCTGCTCTGGGGGAGGGGAAGGACAAACCAGCCTTGAGGAAACTGAGCCACCTCCAGTGGCCCCCAGGCTAGTTGTGACAATGCATAACCCAGTAGGACCAACCTGGCCTCCAGACACACACACCCACGTGTAGGAGGAACGTGGGGTCAGGGCTGTGGCCAAGGACCAAGAGCACATGGGACCCAAAGGTGGCCCGGTCACCCAGTAGGAGCATCCAGAGAAGCCAGGTGCAGGGGACAGCACCTGGAGTTGGCTGTAGGCCAGAGCAGGGGTCTGAAGGACATGAGATTTCCTGAGCGGAGGAGTGTGGGGGGGAGGAATTCCAGGCACGGTCGGCCACTGGCACAGTGTTCCGGGAGGAAAACACCATCGAAGAGGAAAAAATGGGAAGGTGAAGCCAGGGTCAGGCCAGGGAGTAAGGTCAAGGCATTGACCATCAGGAATTTATTTTAGGCTCCTCACAAGGTTTGGCTTTTTGTTTTTACTTTTCTAGAAGTAACGTCTAACATTTTCTAGCATTTAGTAATTAACAGCCACTTTGCATAGATACTGCGTTGTCTCTGTTTTGCCAGAGAGAAAATTGGAGCACAGAGTGGTTAATTCTCTTGACAGAAGTCACATAGCCAGTGAGTGAAATGAACGCACAGTGCTGCTGCTAGCTGGTGAGGCCAAAAGAGGCAGGCATCGTGCCCTGGGGTTCCAAATCAGGTGCTCAGAAGGAGGCCTTTGGGGAGAAGAGGGCTTTTGACAGGCAGAGAACGCCACTGCACAGAGAGGTGGGACAGTGCAGTCTCCAGGGAACAGGAGAAGCTCATTTGGTGGGAACAGCATTGAGTTAAGGAATGCAATGAGTTGGGCTCACTTTGTGAAGGGCCCTGAATGCCAAGATAAGGACCTTCCAAAGGCAATAGGGAGTCCCAGGAAGCAGGGAAGGGACTTGGGCAAATGTGCTGCTGAGGAATGCCATCCCAATGGGCGGATGGTGGTGACCTGGCAGGGAAGGGACTGTCACAATAGTTAGGGGTCTGAGCCCATAAAGCCTGCCCTGGGACACTGAGTGAGGATGGAGAGAATTTCAGACACAGAAGGGACAGTTTGGGGCAAGTATTAGCCACACTGGCCCCAGATGTCAGGCACTCTTAATGTCAGTTCACTGAGCCTTCATCATACCCGGGTGAGGACGGTGTCTGCCCAGTTTGCACGTGAGAAGTGGAGGCTCGCAGAAGCCAGGTACCTTGTTGTGGGCTGCAGCTGCCAGAGCTGGGACTCAAACCCGGCCTTCCCTCTCCACATCACTGCGAGTTTCGGAAGAAGCGGGGGGCTGTGGGGAGCAGGGCAGGGGCTGGTGAATGGCAGGGTGTACCCCAAAGCAGTCTGGTTCTCTAGCCTGGGCGCTGGAAAGGGTCCATTGACTCTGGTGGAGTTGGGGGCCGGGTTGGGGAGGAGACGTGTCCACCCCTGTTGAGTTGGGGGTCGTCATGGGCTATCCAGGGTGGCGATGCCCTGCGCTGAGCTGGCCGGGACGGTTTGAGTCCAGCTGGAGGTAGTGAGGCCAGAGAGAAAGGCCCCTCAGAGCGGGTGCCGAGATGGTGGATGGGATTTGCGACAAGGGCCTAGAGCGATCAAGGGAAGAACTTTGGGACTCCTGTGCTTGGGGTGGGGAGGGAGGTGGAGTCTCGGGAGATGGGTGGGGGGACCAGGAGTGCAGCCATAGAAGCCACAGGAGGCAAAGTGGGACAGGTTGCATGTACCTAGCCGTGGAGTGCAGCAGGATGCGTGTACCTAGGCATGGAATGGAACAGGACGCGTGTACCTAGGCATGGAATGGAACAGGACGCGTGTACCTAGGCGTGGAGTGGGGCAGGACGCGTGTACCTAGGTGTGGAGTGGGGCGGGACGCGTGTACGTAGCCGTGGAGTGGCCTGCCCTGCCTCACCAGGCAAGGGGTGAGGCCCCAGGTCGGGGCAGGCAGCACCATGAGGTGGGGCCATGCCAGCCGCTGGGCTCCAAGGCCTTGGGCCCAGCTCAGACCTCACTTGATGGCTCCAAGACCCTAGTTCCAGGGTCCCATCCCCGCTGAAGGTGCTCAGGCAAGAGGGATGTGACAAGGCCGTGAGGGGCCTGCAGCCTCCAGCTGGCTTCTCTGTCCCTGGTATGGGGAGGTGGCCCAACGACCTGGCCTTCCAGGTCCCTCTGCATGCCCTTCCTGGCAGAATCTTCTAGGGTCCCTAAGCCAGTCACTCAAAAATAATTATGGAGAACCTACTCCACACTAGCCCTCCTCACGACAACCCATGAAGTAGGGGTGCTGTTTATTAAAGCGATTTTGCAGGTGAGGAAACTCAGATGCCAAGTTCAGTCACTTGGCAAGAGTCTCACTGCAGGTAAGGAGTAGAGTCAGGACTCAGAGCCCAAGTCATAACCATGGCTCAGTCCTGCCCCTCCCAGACCCGCAGGGTCCCTGCCTTCTAGTGGGTGAGACAGGCAGTGAACATATGCGCCACGAGGGGCTGGGGAGCTAGCACGCTGAGGAGTGATGTTTAAGTGGGGAATTGAAGAGTGAAGGCTTAGAGGATCTAGGGAGGAGCATGTGCAAAGGCCCTGAGGCAGAGTGCACTTGGCATGCCCAGAACAATGAGGGGCCAGGGTGCTGGAGTGGAGTCAGCCGGGCCGGGGGCCTTGTGGGTCCTGTGGAAGGTGCCCTTGGCTGTGCTTCTTTGAATCTCATAACCTGAGCACTGCTCCCATACCAAGGCTCCTGCCCTTGAGGATGTCCTAGGCTAGTAGGACAGGAAGGGCCACAGGTGCTATGACAGGTGGCCTGTGGGGCTGTAGGAGCGCTGAGCCGGTAGCAGGTGCTGCCTGGAGAAGAAGGTCACCCCTCCCCCACCATGTAGAGTGGGACAGTTGCCCATGGGTGCCCCTGGCATTAACACTGGGAGTTGTCACCCCGGGGCCTGCCTCTTTCTCTAACATCCCACCCCTGTGGGCCCCACCTCCCTCCCGGAAGATTTTGGCCAGGCCCAGAGTGGCCCAGGCTTACGTTACCCGATGCTGCCTTTGCAAGGTCCCCTCCCAGAGGCCTCTGTGCACGAGCCCTGGGGCTGCTGGAGCTGTGGAGGCTGGCGGCCTGGCCCTGGGCGAGGAGGGGTCTGAGCCTGGGCCAGGATGCGGCCTCCCTTTATTCCTGGGACCTCTTGGGTGAGGAGGACAAACTGTCCATGGGAAATCGACCTCTGTCCCCTTGGGAGCACTGGAAGAGGCAGCTGCTTTTGAGCTTGTCCCTGTCCCCAGAGAGGCCTGAGCACTCAATGCCTTTGCCCAGGAAGGGGCTGAGGCACATGTGGTGTACCTGTCCCCGGGCGTGCAGGGAGGAGGCCGGCCACAGCCTCCCTGCCTGGGGTCAGATGCTAGGCCCCTCCCTCCCCCTGCACCAAAGCCGGAGCAGGTCTTCAGCTGCTTCCTGTTGCAGCCTCAGACCAAGTCCTTTCGCCCCCACATGGCTGCATCCTCCTCCCATGTGGTGTGGCTACACTGGCCCCACCCTCTGCGGCCTCCAATCCTGAGCCCTGGAGTAGGATGGGGAAGTGGCTGGTCCGGCCACCCCTGCGCTCCCACAGGCCTCCAGGACCCCCTGACCTAGCTGCAAAGGATGCTGCTGGCCTCTGCCTTGAGAAGAAGGCGCCTCCTCAGAGGGGCTAAGTAAGTGGAAAGTCCCCTCCCCCTGTCCCAGACCCCTGTTGGGAGGCCTGGGGCTGGAGGCCACCATGGGGCAGACCCACCTGGTCCCGGCTGTGGGGCAGAACTGAACCTCTTGCCGCTGCTGCCGAAGCTTCTGGCCCTTCTGGCATAGTCTCCCCCTGAGGTTGGTCCTCCAGCTGCTCTTTCTTCACCCCTGGTGTCCAGGCATGTGGCCCCGGGCAGAGGGCACCCTGTCTCCCAGCCCTGCCAGCCTCCTCAGCTGCAGAGCGTCCCTTTCGTGCCCTCCCCTTGTGGCTTCCTCCTCTCCTGCCCAAGCCTGGCTTTGTCCTCCCCGCTCTCAGGGAGGGGTACCCTGTAGTGGGGTCAGGGGACAGCTCTCCCCGGGGGGGTTCCTCCCGGGCTGGCCCTGGGGCAGCTCTACACAGCCTCAGTACCTGGTACACCTCTCGTGACATCCTTCGTGGGACAGGTAGTCTGTGTGGGGCACCCCAAAGAGCCAGGCCTGTCCTACCCCACCTGCCTCCTCTGGCTCCTGGGGGGATGTGGGGCTGAGCGGGGAGGGGCTGGGCAGGGTCCGTGCCTTCTATCAGCAAAGGGCCACTGAGGCCCGAGTGCCAGCCACAGGGCCACTGCGTGAGCCTGGGGCAGCCGAGGATACCGAGGGCGTGTAGGCCTGTCCCACGGGGACCGCCGTCTTCTCTTCTGGGACAGGCTGTGTGGATACCCCGCCTGGGACTCAGAGAGCTGGCAGGTTACTGGTGGAGACCGGTGGGCAGACAAAGGTGGGTGGTGCAGGCTTCAAGGAAGTGGTGACCAGGAGGGGAGCTGACTGCACTTGCGGAGCCCTGGGTGAGTCATCGCTGGGTAGTCCAGGCTGCGAGTGAGCCGCGGTGATGAGTGTGTGAGTGAGGACGGCGGAGTAGGAGTTTCCACGAGGAAGAAGAGCTTTCCCTCCCCAGGTCGGGGCAGCTGCTCCCAAGCGCCCAGCCCCCACCAGAGGGGCAGGCGGGGCCCTGCTTCTTGAAGCCTGGCACAGAGGGGGACACTCCAGCGTGTGGTCGGTGCAAGGGCTCTCGAAACTCGAAACTCGCTGGTCTGAGGGGACTTAGCCTGACCGCCCTTCTGTCTCTTTAGGTTACAGCCCTCTGGGAGGTGTAGCCATCCTCCCCGGGATTTCCCCACCCCACAGCTGCAGCCATGATGTCACTGTGGCCAGCAGAGCCCACCCCCCCCTGCTGGGGAGCTCAGGCCCCCCTTCCTGGATGCACCCCCACCCCTGTACTTCTGAACCTGGCATTTCATCACTTTGTGCTCCCCCAACTCTGCCCTCAGCCCCTCCCCCTAGGCCCCCAGACAAAGGGGAACTGGCTGGATCCTCTTAAAGGGACAGTGTCCTGCTAGCTCCCTGGCTGCTGCCCTCCCCCTCCCCCCAGCCCCAGTCCCTGGTTCCGGTAGATTGGCAAGTGGTCCATGAGTGATGCCCTGTGCAGGCCCCAGCGTGGTGGAGGGTTCCCTGGCAGCATGGGGGAAGGGCTGTCTCGCCCAGGTGCCTGCCTGTCCTGCCCGCCTCTCTCCTGGATTGTGGCCGTATAGAGCCTGGGCCCTCCTGCCGCTGTGTGACCCAGAGCACCCAAACCGTGGCAGGGCTGGACGGATCCCCTAGCCAAGGGGTGGGGAACCTGTGGCCTTGGGGCCACATGTGGCCTTCCGGATCCTTGAGTGCGGTCTTTTGACTGAATCCAAATCTTACAGAACAAAACAGGCCCGGCCTGTTTTCTGCATGGGCCTGGCCAGACATGCCGTGCCCGTGCACAGGACCCTCAGTCAGGGCTCTGGACCCTGGTGGGGTTCGTGCCCCCGCAGGCTCACTGGGGACTGTGTTTCTGCGTTTGCTCGTCCTGACTCCACAGGGCTGCTGGTCGGTCCCCAGTGTCCTGCGATGCTTGGGTGGGAAGAAGCCAGGCTTGCAGGTCTAGCTCCTGACCTGTGCGTGGCACCTAGAGGCCCCTGTGTCATTTCTCATTTCTCCCCATCTGCCCTGAGGGGCTTGACCAGCCAGGCCTCCTGGTAGCCCCTAGTGGTGGGGCGGGGGGACCCTGGCAGTGACAGCCTTGCACACTGGGCATTCTGCTCCGTTCTGCTTTTCTGAGGGAAGGTGGGTTCTATTGCTCTGGTGGGGGTGGGGGGTATGCTGAACCCCCTTCTTGTCACTGGCAGCACCCGTAGGGCTGCTGGGGTCTAGGACTTGTCTTGACTGAGACCCTGACTAGTGTGTACTGAGCTGAACTCCCACCTCGTATCAGAAACAGGGTGTGGCTCTGTGGGCCTGTGGCGCCCATCTGTGGCCCTCAGGCAGTTTAGACCCTCCGAGGCTCATCTGCTGCATCTCTAGCATGAGGACAGCCGTGCCTTTCTCTTGGTGGCCTGTGAGGATTAAGGAAGTTTAACCAAGAGAAGGTGAAGGTGCCAGGGCTCAGTGGTCCTTCACAGCGCTGGCAGGCCTGAGCTGCCTCCGCAGTGCCGGGGGAGGAGGAGAAAGCGACAAGACCAGAAGAGTGGTGCCTGTCCCACCACCTGAACCCTTGGCTCCCAACTTCCATTCCTCCCTCCACCTGACTGATGGCCAAGAGCAGGTTGCCCGCCCTCTCTGGGCCATCTTCCATGCATGACAAGTGACAGGATCTCAGATGAGAAGCACCCCTTGTCCACAGGCTTGCAGGTGGACGAGACACTCTGGGTGCAGAACTGCTGGGGCTGGTTGTGCAGGCTGTGCACTGCCCAAGAGACACCAGCTGACAGGCCAGGGCAGACTGAATCCATCCCTCGCTCTACTTGCCAAGCCCAGTGCCCAGCACAGGTTGCTTCCTCCCAGAGGACTCGCCTTTTTCTAATTCTTAGGAAGGTGCCTGTAGACTAGGACGTGGCCTAGGTGTGTGTTGCGGGGGGTGCAGCCCTCAGCCCCGCCCCTGTCCTCCAGGTGTTGTGAGTGCAGCGCCTCCCTTTCGCACCAGTACTACGAGAAGGATGGGCAGCTCTTCTGCAAGAAGGACTACTGGGCCCGCTACGGCGAGTCCTGCCACGGATGCTCGGAGCACATCACCAAGGGGCTGGTCATGGTAAGTGCCCCTCCCCCACACACCCCTCACCTGGGGTTGGGGATGTGTGTGTCTCCCCACGGGCAGCATACTCCAGGTCTCTCTCCTGTCGTCTCTCTTGGTCACCTTTCTGCTGGTCCCTGATTGCCCCATACTGCCTGCGCTGGACTGTCTATGCGAACCCCTCGGCCCGTCTGTGGAGCCCGCTCTGTCTGGGTCAGCAGAGCCAGGTCCCCGCGGTTTATTTGGGGCCGCCCTTCTGGAAGGAGGCTGAGGAGAGAAGCTACAGGGGCTGAAGGGGCCGCTGAGCTGGGTTGTCCCCCACCCCCACCAGGTGGCTGGGGAGCTGAAGTACCACCCCGAGTGCTTCATCTGCCTCACGTGTGGGACCTTCATCGGCGACGGTGACACCTACACGCTGGTGGAGCACTCCAAGCTGTACTGGTGAGTGCCTTGGCCCCTCTCCAAGCCTGGGGGCCCTCCTGTGTCACAGGTCTGCAGGGGCACTGGGCCCCCGTACCCAGGCCCCTTGCCCTTTCCACGTGGTGAGGGTTGGGGGCAAACGTTCATAGCGCCCTGCCCCTCTGTGGTGTGGAAGTGACAGAGGAAGAAGACACAGCAGTCGGACTGAGACGGTCTCAAACGTCAGCTTTCTTACCCGTATCTGACTGCGGTGCTGTTCTTACACTCACCACAGGGCTGGTGCGGACCCCACAGACTAAGGACCCCGTCCCTGACAAGACTGCCCCCACTTCACACACCAGCTGCAAGTTCAGGGGTCCCCAGGCCATTTGCACTTCAGACCAACTGACCACAAATTCAGGGATACCCGTGAGCATGTCAACTTTGCTAATTTGCCAAAGGACCCAGAGAACTGAGGAAAGCCTACACTTAGGATTATAGTTTTACTGCGAAGGATACAGCTCAGGACCAGCCAAACAGAGACAGTCCCTTTCTTCCCGTGGCACATCAGTGTGTTCACCAAGCAGGAGGCTTCATTGACTTCAGCACCCAGTTTTTATTGGGGTTTCATTATATGGTCACGATTGATTGACTCATTGGCCACATGATCAAACTCTGGCTCTAGCCCCGCTCCTTGGAGGCCGGGCTGGCTGAGAGTCCCCACCCTGTAATCACAGGGTTGGTTCTTGCGGTGGGAGGGGCCCATCTGAGTCACCTCATTAGCACAAACTCAGGTGGTCCAGGGGGCTCAGGGAGACTCTAAGCCTATTCCAAGGGCTTAGAGTCTCTCTCCCAGGAACCAGGGACGAAGACCAGATAAATTCTCTCTTACACAACACTGACTAGAGGACAGCGTGGCTTGATCCCAGATGGGCTTTTAATGACTTCCTCCTGAACTGGATTTGTCCCCAGGCCTGTCCTGGCCCTCGCACAGCCTGGCAGAGAGTAGATAAACCCAGAATGACTCAGAGGGGCAAGGGCTGGGGGGCAGGCTCGAATCCTGCTCCCCGTCCTCCCATGGGAGGAGGAGAGGAAGCGGGGAGGAGTAAAGAGCCTGGGGCCAGGGGCCGTGGCGGGGCACTGGTGCAGGTAACCGTCTTGACACTCTTTCTTCCCACTCTTCCCTGCCGCTGGGCTGGCGGCTCTTGCAGCGGGCACTGCTACTACCAGACCGTGGTGACCCCTGTCATCGAGCAGATCCTGCCCGACTCCCCTGGCTCCCACCTGCCCCACACGGTCACCCTAGTGTCCATCCCAGCCTCATCTCATGGCAAGCGCGGCCTCTCGGTCTCCATCGACCCCCCGCATGGCCTGCCGGGCTGCGGCACCGAGCACTCCCACACCGTCCGCGTCCAGGGGTGAGTGGCGGCCCTGATGTGGCTGGCAGCAGACACTGGAGCTGGGGGCCCTGCGAATGGGGCGGCGTTTGGGTGCAGATGGAGCCCAGCTCTGACGACCTGGTAGACCAGGTACCTGGTCCAGTCTTTGCTCTGAAAACCATCACAAATGCCAGACAAAATATAAAAACAGTTTCTCTAGCCTGTGTGTGATGCAATGTGAAAGAAGAGTAACCAGGTGAGTGACCAGGTGGCAGATGAGTGAGGGAGGGAGCCCAGGCCAGCCGCAGAACACTGAAGGCAGCTTTGCCTTGAGAACGGAAGGAAATCGCTTTGGTTTTCAAGTCTTTCCAGGGCTGGGCCCCAGGAAGTCTAGTAAGAGAACTGCCTCCTCCCCAAAGCTGGGACCCCCAAAGGGTTCTCAGGGTGAACGAGAAATAAACCGCACCATTCATAACCCACACCCCATAACTGTACGCTAAACCATCTGATTTGAACCTGAACGGAAGATGGGGGGTGAGGGGGAAGTCTTCTCGGAGAATTTCTAAACTCAAATTTCCAAACTAAATGCTTATGCATGGATGGTTCAAGAATCCTCAAGCCAAAATTGAAAAGGTTTGATTTAAAGTAGTTCCCAACTGGTCGTGCTCCAGGGCACTAAGAGAATCAGAAGCAGATCCTTTCTGGAGGAACCCACCGCCAGGCTTCACCGAATTTACTTAGGTAAGTGTCCCAAGGAGGATGCACAATCCCATCCAAAATCACCGTTTAGGGAAGCAAGGCACTGTGAGCGAGAGCCAGCAGACACAGCAGCACGTAGAACTAGATCAACAAAACCTCCAGATACTGGGAGTATCAGAAACCATACAAAACAGTTTGTTCAATATGTTCTCATAAATAAGAAATGCTTTTAAAATGAGTAAGGACAAATTTGGAAAATAACCAGATAGAACCCCTAGAAATGAAATATATAGTTATTAAAATGAAAACCTCACGCCAAAGGTTTAATAGTAGAGTAGGGTTTAAAACAACTGAGGAGAGAAATAGACAAAACGCTGACAACTGTGGAAGAGAGATTAAGATACTTGGAGAACAGTGAGAAGATCTAATGATCATCTATTTGGAGCTCCAGAAGGAGAGAGAGGATGGGAGAGAGGCAGTATTTGAAGATACAACGGCTGAGAACGTCCCAGAATTGATGAAAGACAACGATCAACTGACTCAAGCCCAGTAAATCCCAAATGGCAAAATAAAAAGAATCCACCCATGGGCACCTCTAGTGAAACTCTGCCACACCAAAGACAAAAGAAAAGACCTTAAAGGAGCCACAGAAAAAAAGACAAAGGCTGAGCATGGTGGCTCATGCCTGCAATCCTAGCACTCTGAGAGGCCGAGGCGGGAGGATCGCTTGAGGTCAGGATCGAGACCAGCCTCAGCAAGAGTGAGACCCTGTCTCTACAAAAAATAGAAAAATTAGCAGGGTGTGGTGGTGCACACCTGTGGTCCCAGCTACTCAGGAGGCTGAGGCAGGAGGATCGCTTGATCCCAGGAGCTTGAGGTCACAGTGAACTATCATGATGCTACTGCACTCTAGCCTGGGCAACAGAGCAAGACTCTACCTCAAAAAAAAAAAAGCCAAATTACCCTCAAAGAAAGGACAATTCGATTGACAGCTGATTTCTCTCCAGAAATCAGTGAAACGTTCTGAACGCGCGCTGCCTGGAAGTTCCCATCAACCTAGAATTCTCAACTTTATAAAAATATTCTTCAAGAATGAGGGTAAAATAAACACATGTTAAGGCAGACGACTGAGATTCGATACCAGCAAATCGTCCCTGAAGAAAATTCTAGAGCATGCAGAAAAGATCTGAGAGGCAAGAAGGGATAAAGGTTAGAGAGTCAGTTACTAACATGCAGTGTCACTTTGAGCAGCTGCCTCCTCTCTGGACTCCGGGGTCTGTCCGAACAATGACGGAATCGGACACCTTGGAGCCTTCTAAGATTCCTCCTGAGAGTTCACTGACACCTTGAGAAGTATTAATAGTGTCCCGGGTCCCCACTTCTGGGCATACGAGCCGAGTGCCAGCTTCCACTTGATTCGGTGACTGTTTCTCCCATACCTGTCGGGTACCAGGCACCGCGCAGGCAATGGTGAGACATGAAGGTGGCACTGGGGAAGGAAGGTGACACTGGCTGGACTGTGTTTCCACCCCTACCTCGACATCAGCCCGGCCAGCAGCTGCCTTGTGTGTACAGTGAGCAGACAGGCTGGCGAGAGAGAAGAGGGAACTTCCAGACCGAGAGCGCTGACCAGAGGGCCCAGGAGGGGCCTCCTAGAGGCCCCCGCTGGTCCCCGAAAACCAGGCAAAATTTTAGAAATGAAGAGAGTCCGTGACCACGCCCCCCTGTCCGTCTCACTAGGTGAGCATTCTTTCCAGCCCACTCTGCAACAGTTCTTTCTAGCCAACGTCTGGAACATTGCAAAAATTTCTGCAAAGAGCCACACCCTTCTTGGAAGCAGCCCAACTTGCCAAACATTTACTTGTTTGTTTGAAGCTCGTTTTAGCGGACCGCTTTTCATTTGGTTTGTAGCAGCATTTTAGGGAAAGTTTAATTTATCCGGGCCCAGGCCCCCTGGTGCCTTAGCAGGAGACTGAGGGAGGGGACACAGAGAGGCGAAGGAATGTGTCACTAAGGTTATATCCATCTGAAGCCTGTATCCATGAAAATAAGTTCTTTGTTTTTTCAGCTTTTTATCTTGAAATTTTTCAAACTTACAGAAAGTTTGCTGAAAGAATAAGTACATTGAATTCCTATACACCCTTCACCTAGGTTCACCAATTGTGACTTTTTGCCACAGTTAGGGGGTATAGCGTATCTCTCTATCTATATGTGTATGTACACAGACTGGCCCATATTTGCACATCCACATATATGTACATGTTGTTTTCATAATATTTACTAATTATTTGAGAGTCAGTTGCAGGCCACATTGGTTCTTCCCCGCACCAAATACTTTAGACGTTCTTTTTTGAAAACAAGGGCATTCATTCTCTTACTGATGATCAATTGTATTTTTTTGTACAGTTGCCACATTTAGAGAATTTAACATCGATGCCATTATCTCATGCACCCTCCGTATTCAAATATCGCCAGTTGTCTCAATGCCGCCTTTGTAGCAGCGCCCCCCGCCCAGGATCCCACCGCGATCAGACATTGCATCTAATTGTCACGTCTCTTCAGTCTCTTTTAATCCGTAACACTTCCTCAGCTTTTCATCGTCCTTCGCGACCTTGACATTTTTGAAACGCATGGGCCAGTTGTTAAGTAAGATGTCCCCGCATTTGGGTTTGAGCAATGTTTCCTCCCCATTAGATTTTGGTTCTGCGTGTTTGGCCCGATATGCGCAAGCCATGCCGTTTCCTTCCAAGTGCATGTTGCCGGGAGACATATGATGTCAGCGTGCCCTTTACTGGGGATGTTAACTTTGATTGCTTGGTTAGTTTTCTCTACTGTAAAGGATTTTTTTCCCCCTCTGTAATCAATAAGCCGTTTGTGAGATTTGAGTCTCTTCATATCCTGTTCCCAGAAACCTTTCAGCGGATGGTTTTGGCATGTACTCACGAGTCTTGCCTGTAGCCGTTATTACGGCGGTGGCAGAAGTGGTGGTTTTCTAGCTCTGTTTTTCCTCCTGTGTTCATCAGTTAGCTGCCTACTATAAGGAAGAGCTGCTCCCCCACGTGAGAAAACAGTCTTGATAATGAAGAATTTTTATGAATCTGTTTTTCTTAAAGCTCCGAGTCTCCTGTCTGCCTTACCCCGGCCCCTTCCCATCTCAGGGAACGAGGGCAGAGACAGAGTAAACTCTCCCTAAAAGGCTTTTATGAAACCAAATGAAAACCAGGTAACTAACACCAAAGAGTTAAAAAAAGCAAGTAAATTTGGCAAATGGGCCTTTTTGTGAGTTAGCTATGGCCAGCTAATCGAGGGCATCTTGCCTGTCCCTACCCTGCAGCTGTGGCTCAGGGCAGGCTGCCAATTCAGGAGAAGTGGGAGGTTTGGTCTCATCTTGCAGGGCGAATTTGGGAATCAGGTCAGAAGCCAGTGGACCAGACTCTTTTAGGATCCATCGTTTGAGGTTCGCGTGCCCCAAGCACACCAGGCATTTGGAAGGCTAGGTCCGCCCTCCGTGATGGAGACAACGTTCTGTCGAATGGGAGCTGCTGAACCTCTAGTGTAAGTGGCTGATACCTACAGGTGTGCCACATTTCTCCAGTCTGCACCTGAGGCAGACATCACTAATCGATTACAGAGTCCATCTCACCAAACCAGAACTCCATGTTCTGGATCATTGCTACTTCCCAGTCATACAAGGTAGAATCCTATGGCCCCTCACCCCTGGTCTGGTCCCCTTAGCTTTGGTTTTTTTGGGGGGGGCTCAGGGGACAGGCAGGCACTGGCCTGACCATTGCTCTACCCACAGAGTGGACCCGGGCTGCATGAGCCCTGATGTGAAGAATTCCATCCACGTGGGAGACCGGATCCTGGAAATCAATGGCACACCCATCCGGAACGTGCCCCTAGACGAGGTACGGGTCCTGAGTGTGGGGCAGGCATGGCGGTGATGCCTTCGCGCCTGATCTCTCCCCACACCTGTGCTACCACGGTCGTGGACGCCCCAGCTCACACACCTGCTCTCCCCAGATCGACCTGTTGATCCAGGAAACCAGCCGCCTGCTCCAGCTGACCCTTGAGCATGACCCCCACGACACACTAGGCCATGGGCTGGGGCCTGAGACCAGCCCTCTGTGCTCTCCGGCTCATACTCCCAGTGGGGAGGCGGGCAGCTCTGGCCGGCAGAAACCCATCCTGTAAGTCGGCCTGCCCTCGGGTGAGCTGGGCGCCTTCCCCGACACCGGGCCCTGGGTGGGGGAGGCAGCCCTGCAGAACAGCAGCCCAGCATGGCATGGGGGCACTGCAAGAGGCAGGGTAGTGAGAGGTAGGGATAGGAGGGAGACAGCTCCCCTCGCAGGAGAATTCCAGAGTGCTTTCAGGGCAGTGATTAGGGATGATGGGGGCTGGGCTCCGAGATGAAGCGAATGCAGGGCTTCAGTGTGGCAGGGGTCTTTGGGCTTTGTCCCATCCATCGTGGGCCCTCCGAAAGGCTGTCATAGCAAAGTGATGTGTTTCACAAAGACCACTCTGGTCCCGGTGCGGGAGGGTCTTGGGGTGGGGTCACTGGAAACCAGAGGCAGCTGGTGGGCCGTTGCAGTGGTCCTGGCAGCGGGGGCTGAGGGTCCCATATCCTGTCGAAGCAGGGGAGGAGTCGGGAGGAGGCCTGAGTTACCCAGAGGTGGCCTAGTGCTTACTCCACTTACTGTTGGACCTTCTCGGGGACTCGTGGTGATAACCTTTTAAAGGGACGCCTTCTGGGCTGGGGCCCAAGATGAGGAGCAGACTTAGGACCTTCTCAGGAGGGTGGCACAGGGTGACAGTGCACAGGCTGGCGTGGATGGGAGTGTGGCAGGCAGGGAGGAGGGAGAAGAGAGGGGCGGGGCATTGGCTGGGTGCCGCCTACCCCCCATGGCACTGGGCCCTCGTGTGCCTCCCCAGGAGGAGCCTCAGCATTGACAGGTCCCCAGGTGCCGGCTCCCTGGGCTCCCCCGCCTCCCAGCGCAAGGACCAGGGCCGCTCTGAGTCCCTCCGCGTGGTCTCCCGGCCACACCGCATCTTCCGGCCGTCAGACCTCATCCACGGGGAGGTGTTGGGCAAGGGCTGCTTCGGCCAGGCCATCAAGGTATGGCGTGTCCCCGCAGTGGTGGGGGGGTGGTCTGGGTGAGGCCTCTCAGCCCTCCCCCATCAGTGGCTGCACGGTGGAAGGGGGACCTGGCTTCTAGACTCCCTGGCCAGTGCTCTCTCCTCCACCTTGGCCTTATTGAGCTGGTTAGAGGGAGATAGACCAAAACTTTAGGGGAAGGGCGGCCCCTCGGGTTGGGGGATGGGCGGGCAGGGCAGCCCAGACTGGCCTGGAAGTCCCCCTCCCCAGAGCCCCACATGAGCCCGATGCCACCCCATCATGGCCTCTGGGCTGCCTGCCCCCTTCACACTCTCCCCAAGCAGGGACACGAGCCCTTCCCTGGCTCTGATGTCACCTGGCTGTGACTGGGCTGTCCAGATATCCAGATGGGCCCAGGGTCCCCACCCCTGTCCCTGGTCCCCTGGCAGGTAAGCCACCATTTGACCTCCAGGAGACAGGCCAGCAGAGCAGAGAGCTGGCCCTGGTCAGGGGGTCCTGGACCTAAGTGCCAGCAACCCCCCTCCCCTGCCAGCCGGGTGACCTTGGCCCTGTTAGGAAAGCTCTCAGAGCCTCAGTTTCCTCAGCTGTACCGGGATAATGCGTCCCACCCCCAGGGTGACTGGGAGCATCCTAGGAGGGGCCAAAGAGCGTGAAGCCATCTACACGTCTCCCTGGTGGTCCTGGGGCGGGGCTGGGGGCTTCCCAAGGAGGGCTTGCAGCAGAGCCTGTCTGTTCCAAGTCTTCATGCCACTGTGTCTTCATGCCATGTTGCGCAGGTGACACACCGAGAGACAGGCGAGGTGATGGTGATGAAGGAGTTGATCCGGTTTGATGAGGAGACCCAGAGGACATTCCTCAAGGAGGTCAGTGAGCAGAAGTCGCACGTCCCTCTGGGCCACACTCCCGGGCCCCGCCCCCTTCCCCCATTGAGACAGGGTGGTGGCGTCCAGAAGGACGTGATACTTGAGCCACATGTTGAAAGGAGAGAAAGCATCTGCCAGGAGGGCGAGAGGGGAACGGGCACCGAGGGGGTGAGAGGAACCCGGCAAAGAGCTCGGCGGCCGGGGTGTGGCAGGGCAGAGCGGCCGGGGCTCCTCCTTTGCGGGGCAGGCCATGGCCTCTGGTGGGAGGGGCGGGGGAAGCAGGTGTGGGCTCAGCTTAGATCAGGGGGAGCCCCGGCCCAGCCTGTCTGTGCCTGCAGGTGAAGGTCATGCGGTGCCTGGAGCACCCCAATGTGCTCAAGTTCATCGGGGTGCTCTACAAGGACAAGAGGCTTAACTTCATCACCGAGTACATCAAGGGGGGCACCCTGCGGGGCATCATCAAGAGTATGGTGAGTCCCCGGGGGCCCCACCTGCCACACTGTCCCCGCCACCCCCGCTGTGTGGCCCCAGGCAAGGCAGCACCTCTCTGGGCCTCAGTCTCCTCCACTCTCCAGTGGGGGGTGGCCTTAGGGGTCTCAAAGGCCATCCAAACCCTGATTCCCAACTGAATAGGGGAGCAACTGACTCCATCTAAAGCCAGGAAGAAGCTGGAGAGACGCAGCTTCTCCGAGGGGACCCACAGGCAGTTTCGGGCGAGCCAGAGCCTGCCGCACCTGCAGCAGGTCAGGGCACCTTCCAGTTACCAGTCCGCGGTGGGCCTTGGTTTCCCTTCTGGCAAAACTTAATCATTTTTACTATTGAACATGTTCCGTAATCAGAACTTACTTTAAGTCTTTGGATAAAATTACAAATCCATCTTTAGAAATAAAATGCTGGGAGGGCAGCCATGCAGCACTCACACTGGGCAGTGTCCCTGGACCCAGTCCCGCTTCCGGCCCCATTTGAGTAGCACTCTGAGACCACGCGATCGTGTTCCCTTCCCGAGCCTCTGCGTCCTCACTTCCTCAGGGTGGATTACCTGGTATTTCCCAGAGTGTGGGCCCTGTGGGCTGCTGATAGGTGTAACTTCACAGGACAGGTTCTGTGGTCAAGGACGATTTAGAAACACTGGGCTTTGCTTGAGGCCAGGAGTTCAAGACCAGCCTGGGCAACATAGCGAGACCCCATTTCTACAAAAAATAAGTTTAAAAAATTAGCCAGGTGGGGTGGTGTGCACCTGTAGTCCCAGCTACTTCAAGGGTGAGGCAGGGGGATGGCTTGAGCCCAGGATTTGGAGGCTGCAGGGAGCTATGATGCCACCACTGCACTCCAGCCCAGGCAACAGAACAAGACCCTGTCTCAAAAAAAAGAAAGAAAGAAACACTAGGCTATACCGGGTTAGGCTTCCTAACTACATCTCTGAATCTTTCGTAGGCTCTGATGCTCAGACCCTCTCACTTGAGGTCTCCAAGGGGAGGGGGTTAGAGAACGAGGCGGCTCCCCAAGTGAGTGGAGCCCAAAGCCCCATTATCCTGGTGCGACCGGGCACTGGGGCTCTGCAGGTGACCTTGCTGGGCCCTGCTAACTCTTGTCTGTCTGTGAAAGTAGGCTCAGATTTTTCTGAAAACCTGAAAAGATGGGATTTCTGTAGAAGATAAATATAGCTTTTTTCACAGAGGAGGCAGAGTGGGAGCTATAGAGGAATATCCCCCCCTTAGTGTTTGAAATCAGTTCTGTTAGAAAATGACATTTTGAGTTGTACACCCACACCTCTTAGAGGCAGACAGTTGTGGGTGCCAAACAGAGTTGGAGGGGGAGCCACCGGGCCCTCTAGGACTGCAGTTCCCAACCCCCAGGCTGTGGCCCAGTACTGGTCTGTGGCCTGTTAGGAAATGGGCCGAATATCACTGCCTGAGCTCCCACCACCTCCCCCTACCCATGACACCCCACCCTCCTACCCTCGGTCCGTGGAAAAATTGTCTGCTGTGAAACTGGTCCCTGGCACCAAAAATATTGGGGACCACTGGTCTAGGACACTTGCCCCATCCTGCCTGTCTCTCACGCAAGTGTCCCTGCCTCTGGAACCCCACTGGCTCCACCCTGCCCATTCTCTCTCCACCCCCAGGACAGCCAGTACCCGTGGAGTCAGAGGGTGAGCTTTGCCAAGGACATCGCGTCAGGGATGGTGAGTGAACTGGGTGACCCGACCCCACGTATAAAAGTATTCCCTGCCACTAACCTAAAATCCCACGCGGAATCGCCAAGCAGAACCCACAAGGAAGCTTTGAAAGCAGGTGGAGGGACTCAGATGGAGAGTGGGAAGAGTACCCCCAACCAGCCTGGCTGGGTGGGGGAAGGGAGCTGCCGCCTTCTGACCTCCTCCCCTCCCCCCAGGCCTACCTCCACTCCATGAACATCATCCACCGGGACCTCAACTCGCACAACTGCCTGGTCCGAGAGGTGAGTGGCCTGGGTATCTGCGCGGGTGGGCAAGGGGGGAGCCGGCAGGAAGAGTTTCCTTTGGAGGGAATGGCACGTGCAAAGGGCCTGAGGTGTGATGTTCAGGAAGTGGTGAGTCACTTGCCATGGAGTGGGGTTGACGGCCTCCATGCGTGTCCAAGAAAGCATTGGGAGCCTCCAGGTACTGTGGGAAGCAGTGGGCAGTGAGTGCAGAGAGGGGCAAGGCTGGATCTCACAGGCCTCCCAGGGAATCTGCTCACACTGCCCGGTGGGCAGGGAGTTGCTGTAGGCCCAGCCAGTGTGGTGGGCAGGGCGGGGGAGAGGGCAGCCGTCAGGGCCTCGGTCCCACAGCAGGGATCATCCCTTGAGAATCTGAGAGTTGCGAACCCTCCTGTCCCTGAAATCCATCTGTGCACAGCCAGAACTTTTGCCCACAGTGTGGGGCCTCCGAGAATCCCGGGTGGTCACCCTCGCTGGTTTCCCTAGAGCTCTGTTTCCCATAGCCGGGTCTGCAGGCCCCGTAGCAGAAGACCTTCGGGCACTCGTTAAAAGTGCAGATTCCTGAGCCCAAGCTCAGGTCTTCTAAAAGGGACAGGGCAGGAGTCAGCACTCGGGCAATCCTGGTGGACACTGGCCTCTGATGGCCACTGCCCAGGTGGGGCAGAGGGTCCAAGGATCCCAATCAAAACCCCCTGACCGGCCTGCCACCTGATATTACACCTAAGGTGATGGGGCCCTAGAGGGACCATGTTTACCTGCAGCCTGGTCGGGGTGGGCCTGGGCCACGTGGTCAACCCGTCCCCCATCTGCTGTCCTTGTAAAGCTTTCTCCAGGTGACTGTCCTCGTTTGTGTCACTCCCATAGGTAGCACAGGGTTCTTCCCCCCAAGAGGAGCCTGTTCCTGACCCCTGGCTGGCTGGGGCCCTGCCTCCTGCCGTCTCTGTTACCTGTTCCTCAGTGTTCTCGCAACAGTGGCCAACCCTGGGGGCCAACCCCAGGCTACTACCAGGGCCCCTGACACTAGGCGTCTTAGTCCATTTTGCGTTGCTATAACAGAATGCCTGAGACTGTAATTTATAAAGAAAAGAAATGTCTTTCAGCTCTGGAGGCTGGGAATCCAAGGTCAAGGGGCTGCCTCTGGTGAGGGCCTTGTTGCTGGTGGGACTCTCTGCGGAGTCCCAAGGTGGTGCAGGGTGTCGCATGGCAAGGGGTGCGTGAGAGACAGCCAAACTGGCTCTTATAACAGACCCACTCTCGTGATAACTAACCCAGTCCCTCGATAACCCATTAATCCATTAGTCCGTGCAGAGCCCTCATGACCCAGTCGTCCCTTAAAGGCCACTGTTACAGTCACGCACCACGTAATGACATTTCAGCCAGTGACGGGCTGCGTATACAGTGGTGGTCTGAGCAGTAGGCTACCCAGTCTAGCCTAGGTGCATGGTGGGCTAAACCGTCTAGGTTTGGGTAAGCACACTCTCTGATGTTCGCATGACAACGAAGTCACCTAACAATGCATCTTTCTAAACATATCCCTGTCTTTAAGGGACACATGACTGTACCTTGGAGATTAAGTTTCAACATGAGTTTCAGAGAGGACAAACATTCAAACCATAGCACCAAGCCCAAGCAGGCCTGGCCCCAGGACCCACGGAGGACTTGTCCAACTTCCTGCCTCAGCAGTGATGCCCAGGGCTTTGTCCTTGTCCCTCAGCTCTCAGGATGACCCCCAGCCAGGTTTTCCTGTCTTGCTGGGGTAGATATAGCAGTCAGTACTTCACTCTGCAGGGTCCCGGACTCAGCCATGGAGGACTCATGCAAACCTCAGCTAGTAGAACCAGGGCTCCAAAGTCCTGGGCTTGAATCCCAGCTTTGTCACTGACTAGCGGGGTGGCCTTGGGCAACTTTCTTAACCTCTCTGGGCCTAAGTCCCCTTATCTGTAAAGTGAGGATAAACTTTACGTAGACTTCACCAGGTTTTTATGAAAGAGAATTAAAGATGAATCTGTGACATGGGGAACAGGGTCTCTAATCAGAATTTCTGTTTTCCTTTCCAAAACAAGGAGCACCAGTGCCCTCGTGGGGCAGAGGGAGAATGGGAGAGTGGGGAGCAGGATGGCCCGGGGAGCAGGTGGGGAGGGGCAGAGGGTACAACGTGGTCGGGGGGCATGCTGGCATTTCCAGTTGCTTCCAGAAGCTCCATTTGCCAAGAGCAGAAGAGTTTGGGGAAGGAAGGGGATTCCCACCCTGCACTGGGCGCCAGAGGTGTGTTTTCTGGGCGTCTGGGGTTGGTGTGGGGCCCTGGCCAGGAGCAGGCTGGGCGGGCAGTGCCAGGATCGCGTTTCAGGGCGCCCCTGCTTCACCTCCCAGAACAAGAACGTGGTGGTGGCCGACTTCGGGCTGGCGCGGCTCATGGTGGACGAGAAGACTCAGCCCGAGGACCTGCGAAGCCTCAAGAAGCCAGACCGCAAAAAGCGCTACACCGTGGTGGGCAACCCCTACTGGATGGCGCCCGAGATGATCAACGGTGAGTGGACACCTCGCCTGCCATGGGCCCCAGGTCCCTGGGCTGCACCTGACCTTGTCCTAGGGAGGCCCAGGGGCCCAGCAGAGCTGCGGCCACCAAGCCCCGGCCTCTCCCAGACTCCTCAGATCCGCAGGTTCCTCTCTGGGTCCTGCGTTCATTTCCTGTTGCTGCCGTGACACGTTCCCGCACGCTCAGTGGCTTAAATAGCAAATTAGCATACAGTTCTGGAGGTCCAAAGCCCAGCGTCAGCCTCGCTGGGCTAAAGGCAAGGTGGCAGCCGGGCTGCATTCCTTCTGGGGGCTCTGGGAGGATCTGGCTCCCGAGACTGCTTCGTCTCCGTGGTCAGGACGAGTAGCACTGTGTCTCCTGTGCTCTCGGCCTCTGCATCTGTCCCCACCTCTCCTTCCCTCCTGATAAGGACCCTGCGATGACATCGGCCCACCTGGATGACCCAGGCCAATCTCTGGCTCAAGACCCTTAACCGAATCCCTCCTGTAAAGCCCTGTGTAAGGTAGCACGTGCACACGTGCCAGGGATTAGGACATGGGCATCTTTGGGGCCGTAATTCTGCCTCCCACGGGGCCTCTCTCCCCTACTCCCTTTCTCATCAGTGGTCACGGGTCCTGTGTACGCCCAGAGTGTACATTATAAAGTCACTCCACAAGCAGGTGACACACAAACACAGCTTCAGGGCAAGCCGACCAGGGGTCAGCTCAGCACCAGCACTGACCAAGTTAATATAGTAAACGTAGCCCCCGAGCAACTTAACCTATAAAGGAGTCTTCATGGTCGCTGTCTTTAAGGGGTGGTGCGAGGGTTACGTAGGTTCGGAAGCTCACGGCCACCCGCTTGGCATTCAGTGAGAGTGGCTGTGCTGAGCATTTTTAATATCATCGGGAGGTGGTAGTGTCCCCATTTTACATAGGAGGAAACTGAGGCTCAGGGAGTCTGTGTCAGTTTCCTGAGGCTGCTGTAACTAATTAGTACAAACTCGGTGACTTTAAACAACAGAAATTTACTCTCTCTTAGTTTTTTTTTGTTTTTTTTGTTTTGTTTTGTTCTGTTTTTTGAGACAGAGTCTCACTGTGTTGCCCAGGCTAGAGTGCCATGGCGTCATCCTAGCTCACAGCAACCTCAAACTCCTGGGCTCAAGCGATCCTCCTGCCTCAGCCTCCCAAGTAGCTGGGACTACAGGCATGCGCTACCATGCCCAGCTAATTTTTTCTATATATTTTTAGTTGTCCGATTAATTTCTTTCTATTTTTAGTAGAGACGGGATCTCGTTCTTGCTCAGACTGGTATCGAACTGCTGAGCTCAAACAATCCGCCCGCCTTGGCCTCCCAGAGTGCTGGGATTACAGGCGTGAGCCACCGCGCCTGGCCTCTCTCTCAGTTTTGGAAGCTGGAAGTCTGAAGTCCAGCAGGGCCGCACTCCCTCCAGGGGACCTAGGGGACAGTCCCTTCCTGCCTTTCTCAGCCTCTGGTTGTCCTGCATTCCTGGGCTTGTGGCTGCATCACTCCAGCCTCTGCCCCTGTCTGCACATGGCCTCGTCCCCCGTTCTGCCTGTCTTCTCTGTCTCTTATTAGGGCACTGGCTTTGGCATTTAGGGCCCACCCAGGTGATCCAGGATTCTCGCATCTCAAGATCCTTAACTTAAGCACATCTGCAAAGACCCTCTTTCCAATACAATAACATTCACAGGTTCCAGGGATTTGAGGTGGCTGTCCTTTGGTCCTTTGGGGCCACCACAGAGTTCATGACGTGCCTGAAATCACACAACTGGTCAGTGACCATGCTGGGCCTAGAACTCCTTGCCCAGAGCTCTCATCATCCCGCCCTCAGAGCTCCTGAGGGTTGTGCAGACCTGGTGGGGCTGGGGGCAGAGCCTAAGCCCTCATGCCCTTGAGTGTGGCTCGCATCTGCCCCCTGGTCCCAACCCCTGGCCAGGGCATCCCCCGCCGCTGGACGGTCCCTGGCATGGCACCCATTTGGCATCATTCCTGACACTGTGTCACCTGCTGACATTCGGTCTCTTTGCCCAGGTCGCAGCTATGACGAGAAGGTGGACGTGTTTTCCTTTGGAATCGTCCTGTGTGAGGTAGGTCCAGGGGTGGGTGGCAGCGGTGGCGGGGCCTGCAGCTCCTCCGCACTCCCCACACTCCCAGGCTGCAGGCTGGGGGGCTATAAGGGCCTCAGGCCAGGGTGGCCTCTGGGAACAGAGCTGCCCACGGCAATGGATGGCCTGGCCCCAGGGGGAAAGGGTGGTCAGGCTGGGGCCAGGCCCAGTGCGACCTGCCCTCAAACCACCTGGATGGCACTCAGACGCCAGGCCAGGGGCCCCTTGGGATAACTGCTGGGCCTTGTGCCGGACAGATCATCGGGCGGGTGAACGCAGACCCTGACTACCTGCCCCGCACCATGGACTTTGGCCTCAATGTGCGAGGCTTCCTGGACCGCTACTGCCCCCCAAACTGCCCCCCGAGCTTCTTCCCTATTACTGTGCGCTGCTGTGATCTGGACCCTGAGAAGAGGTGAGTGGGGTGGGGCCCTGGCCTGGGGCTGTCTTGGGGGTAGGGCCGATGCCCAAGAGAGCCAGACCCATCATCACCCGCCTGTCACCCAGGCCCTCCTTCGTGAAGCTGGAACACTGGCTGGAGACCCTCCGCATGCACTTGGCTGGCCACCTGCCACTGGGCCCGCAGCTGGAGCAGCTGGACAGGGGCTTCTGGGAGACCTACCGGCGTGGCGAGAGTGGACTACCTGCCCACCCCGAGGTCCCCGACTGAGCCCGGCCCGCCCCGCTGCCCCTGTCCCTACCTCCAGAGAGTCCACCCTCACCAGATTCCTCTGCTGGAAGTGGCCAGGTGTGGAGCCCTTGGCCGGGGCAGTGGGTGCCCAGACCCCTCCCCAGAGCCAGGCCCTGATTTGCCTTCTCCCACCTTGCGGACCGTGCCCCCTGCCCACCCTCCACCCTGGCCCTGGAGCCGGCCCGGCTGCACACACTCTGTCCTGTGGCCCTGCCGTACCTCTGTCCTAGCTTCTCCCTGCATGAGCTGGAGGGCCTCGCGAGTTGTGCCGCATCCACATGCCGCTGCCCCCTGCGCACACTGCACCCGTGTGCAGCCCCCTGAGGCTGGGCTGGGAGGCAGCCTCCGAACCGTGCCCTGTAACGGTTGGGCGCAGAGGAGGCCGTGTGTCCCGGGTGAGGCCAAGTTCCCAGGAGTCTATGTTCCCAGGAGCCAAATGGCAAGTCTGGGGCCCACTTCCCCACCCCCAGGGGGTGTCTAGGTAGCAGCAGGTGTTGATAATTGTCCAGTCCCCAAAAGCAGACAGAGGTCTGATTCTGCAGGTGGAAGGGGCTGAGCAGCAGCCCTGTCTCTCACTTTGGGTCTTTTTCGTTTCTTTATCAAAGCCACTTTAGTGAGAAGCAGGTACCAGGCCTCAGGGTGAAGAGAGGTCCCTTGGGGGGAAGGGAGCCTCGGTGCCCGGGCCGGGCAGGGGGCGGCTGGGCAGAGCGGACGAGGCAAGTGTCCACCAGCAGCCCAGCCCCAAAGTCATCTCAGCGCCCTTTCCCAGCCTCTCTCCAAGGCTCCCTGCCCCTCCTTATGTCCCCTACCCCCTGCCGCTGTCCTCTGGGTTCTTTCTGTGTAATCTATTTTTTAAGAAGAGTTTGTATTATTTTTTCATACGGCTGCAGCAGCAGCTGCCGGGGGCTTGGGGTTTTATTTTTTTGGCGGGCGGGGTGGGAGGGCCATTCTGTCACTTTGCCTCAGTTGAGCATCTAGGAAGTACTAAAACTGTGAAGCTTTCTCAGAGCACTTTGAACCTGGAAAACAATCCGAACAGGCCTGTGGGACTACGACTTAGGGGGTGGGACACGCTCGCCCCCATCCAGGAACCGTGACGTCCAAGTAACAAAACCCAGACCTCAGAACAATAAAATAAATTCCGTACTCCCCACCCCAGTCCTGCGTGGCGATGTGTGTCTGGGGCCCCGAGGAAATAGTGGAGACGAGAGAGGAATTAGAAGCCTGACAAGGAGACAGGGATACGGGGGTGGCAGGGCCAGCAGAGGGTGTCGAGGGCAGGAGAGAGACCTGCAGCCCAGGTTTACGTGGAGCAGAGGTGGTGGCCCAGGTGGGACAAATCAAGGTTCTCCAAAGGCTGGGTTTGGGGAGTCGGGGGTATGCTCGGGAATGTAGAGCTTTCACACTTAATGTCATCTACTAAAGGGCCCTATCAGGAAGACAGAAACCACACTAGTCATTTCAAATGTAGGGCATTGAATACAGGGAATTGTTTACACAGGTGTTGAAAGACAGAGGGAGGCAAAAAGTGGATCCTGAAGTAACCCAGAGATGCCTGACTGCAGGAAGCAGCTAGCCCCCTGGGGCTGGGGGATTGAAGCAGAGAGGTGGTCACTGGAGTTAACTGATATGTAACAAGTCACCCCTAAACTTGGTAGCTTAAAATGACAATGATCTTTCAGTGCTCATAATTTCTGCTTTGTCGAGAACTTGGGAGCCGCTTGGGTGAGTGGTTTGGGTGTGGGGTCTCTTCTGGGACTGCAGTCAGATATTGCTTGGGGCTTCTGTCCTTTGAGGGTGTGATTGGGAATGACGGTCCTTTGCAAGGACCCTTCTGTGTAGCTCACTTATGAGGCCTGGAAGTTGATGCTGACTGTGGACAGGAGGCCTCAGTTTATCTCATGGGCCTCTCCACGGGCCGCTTGAGTGTGTCCCCACAGCAGCCTCCCAGATGAGCATTTCCCAAGAGCAAAGCACCACTGCCTTATATGACCTGGCCTTGAAAGTCACACGGCGTCATTTCCATCCTATTCCACTGGTCACAGCCAACCCTGATTCGGTGTGGGAGGGGACCCCACAAGGCCGTGAATACCAAGACCAGGAAGGATCGTTGGGGGTCGTCTGGGAGGCTGACTAGGAACTTGGAGGCTTGGAGGGGCGTGCGCCGTGGAACCCGTGCTGGGATTCTTGATGCATGCTGTGGGGAAGGGTTGGATTCTAAGCAGATGGTGCAGGGACTGCTGGGAAGACAGGTGCCGGCCCGAACAGCCTGCTGCTGCTGCCCTTCACGAGGGCAGGGGGAGCCCTCTCAGCTGGCCCGCTGAATGGGAGGCAGCCGCTGAGGGCATCTGGGAAATGCAGTTTTCAGCACTCAGGCAACAGCATCACAGAACAGAAAGTGGAACAGTCGTGGGGCTGAGATAGGGTAGGTCACCAGCGCCATCTGCCCTTTGGGCCTCTCTAGTCAGCCCCACATACCTTGGTACCGTATTCAGCTTCCACTCAGCTCTCACTTCATGCTTCCAACCCCAGACGCAGGTATTTTGTGCACAGGGGTGTCGTTCTTTTCCTGGGGGTGGACTGGGGGGCCAGCTAAGTTCTATAGCCATTGGATCCCTCACTCGGTGACGTGCATTCCAGCCACAATTCCAGCTGAATGTTCTGTAACTAAAAGACTTAAATAATAAACCTAATCACCATCATCAACACTTTCATAGAAATAAGGCAACCAGAGGGAGGGAAATACTTGATACACGTGTGACGAGAAAATGCACGGAGCTGCCGCGGGCCTCATTGCTACAGCTGGTTGCGATGTCATCGCTGATTTTTTAAACACTTTTAATGTCCATAATTCACATGCAATTCACCCACTTCAAGTGTAAACTTCAGTATTCCCAGAGTTGTGCAACCAATCCCACAGTTTAATTTCACAGCATTTTTATGACCACAGAAGGAAACCTGCGCCCATTAGCAGTCGGTCCTCAGTCCCCTGCTCCTCCAGCCCCAGGCAACCGCTCATCGACCTTCTGTCTCTAGGGATTTCTATAGATTGGGATATGTTTTGGCTGTACAATACCTAGTTTTTTTGTGATGGCCTGTTTCCCTTAGCATGTTTTCAAGGTTCATCCATGTGATAGCATGTATCAATATTGACAGTACTTGATTCCTTTTCATAGTAGAATAATATTCCACTGTACCGATCGATCACAATGCACCCATTCATCAGGTCATGGACATGAGAGCTTCCTCCACTTTTTGGCCACTGTGAGTAATGCTGGTATGAACACTGGCATACACGTTTCTGTATGGACGTGTGTCTTCCTTTCATCTGGTTATATACTTGAGAGTGGAGCTACAGGTTTATATACCCGAGAGTAATAACTCTGTGCTTAACATTTTAAGGAACTTCCGAACTTTTTCCACGGTGGTTGCACCGTTTTGCACTCTCACCAGCAGCACATGAGGGTTCCAATTTCTTCATGTTCCCTCCAACACTTAACTATTGCCTGTCATTTTTGTTAGAGTCATTCTTGTGGTATGAAGTGGTATTTCCTTGTGTTTTGTTTTGTTTTTTAAATAAGTTCAAAGATCCATGGAAACCTTACAGGTGACACAGGGACTCAGAGGAAGGCAGGATTCGGGAGTTAGCCCAGGACGAGCTGCCGCTGCCTACTGCTTCCCGAGTTGTAAGCCTGGCCTGCTAGAGACTCAGGGGTCACGTCCACCCGGTGTGCCCTCCCGGGTTTCGGCACCAAATGTTAGATCCAGAGCCAAGAGAGAGACACACGAAGCCTCATGTGTAGCAAATGCTTATTTATTTTGAGCATCTGGGTGCAGATGGGTGGAGGCCAAAAAAAGCGTCCACCTCTCCTTGTGGTTTTGATTTGCATTTTCCTAATGACTAATAATGTTGGATGAGCACCTTTTCATGTGCTTCTTGGCCCTCCGAATATCTTCTTTAGAGAAATGTCTACTCAAATCCTTTGGCTGTTTTTTAATTGGGTTATCTTTTTTATTTTGAATTGTAAGAGTTATTTAAATATTCTGGACACAAGTCCCTTACATGAGATATATATGATTTGCAAATATTTTCTCCCATTTTTGAGTTGTCTTTTCACTCTCTTAATAATGTACTCTGATACACATAAGCTTTTAATTTTGAGGAAGTACGATTTATCTGTTTTTTCTTTTGTTCCCCGTACTTTTCATGTCATGTCTAAGGAGGCTTTGCTTAGCCCAAGGTCATGAAGATTTACTCCTAAGTGTTCTTCTAAAAGTTTTATAGTTTTAAGTCTCTCAATCCTATTACCTTGATCTATACATCTGTTGTTACACCAGTACCACACTGTTTTGGTTACTATATCTTTATAGTAAGTTTTAAAATCAGAAAGCGTGAGTCCTCCGACTTTATTCTTTTTCAAGAATGTTTTGGGTATGATGGGTCCCTTGAATTTCCATATGAATTTTAGGATCAACTTGTCACATAATTTTTTTATTTATATAAATTTATGGGGTACAAGTACAATTTTGAGTTTTTTCCTTTTTTATTTCTTTTTTTACAGACAAGGTCTTGCTCCGTCACCTGGGGTGGAGTTCAGTGGCATGATCACTGTAACCTCAAGCTACTGGGTTCAAGCTCCTGCCTCAGCCTCCCGAGTAGCTAGGACTACAGGTGCTCACCACCACATCTGGCTGATTTTTTTATTTTTTGTAGAAACGGGGTCTCCCTTTATTGCCCAGGCTGGTCTTGAACTCCTGGCCTCAAGTGATCCTCCCAAGTCGGCCTCCCAAAGTGCTGGGATTACAGGTGTGAGCCACCGTACTCCGCCAAGTGCAGTATTGTTACATGTGTAGTTATCGAGTCAAGGCTTTCAGGATTCCCATAACCTGAATAACATATGTCGTACCCATTAAGTAATTTCTCATCATCCACCCCTCTCCCACTCTCTCCCACTCCCTCCCCCTCCAGAGTCTCCATTGTCTATCATTCCACTCCCTACGTCCATGTGTACTTTTTTTAGCACCCACTTATAGGTGAGAACATACAATATTTGTCTTTCTGTCTGGCTCGTTTCACTTAAGATATCCATGTTGTTGCAAAAGACATGATTTCATTCTTTTTAATGGCTGAATAGTACTCCCTTTTTTCAACAGTTCATAGCAACATCCTCAATGGCTGAATAGTATTCCCTTGTGTATATACACCACATTTTCTTTAGCCAATCATCCACTGATGGATACTTAGGTTGATTCCTTATCTTTGCTATTGTCACATAATTTGTTAATGTCCTTGTACTACCAATCCCACATTCCCTGTGCCCTCAGCTAGCGCCTCCGCTGGTTGGGGCCCTTTGCCTGGTAAAGCTAACGCAAAGTTTCTTCCCAGAATGGTCCGAATCCTCAGTGATCCTGACGTTGTTAAATTGCTGTAATTTCAAACGATTCCCACCTGGGACACAGAAGCATTAGGAAGCACTCCATAGAAGCCGCTGGCTTGCAGAACACAGCTCTCCTCGCCCCTGTTGTGTAGCAGCAACCTAATTTCTCATTGGAAATCAAGACTAATCGCTCCACCCAGTAGCATAGTCCCTTATTTGACTGGTGTTACGTGAAATGCAGACCCCATAATGGCGAGGAGGCAGCCTCAACTTCCAATTCAGTAGAACCGCTGTGTCGCCTGGCAGAAGCATTCCTCCCATGGCATTCGAGATATCTAAATCAGAAAAGGTCAGAGTTGCTGGGAATGGGAAGCAAAGTTTCTGCACGTGGGTTATTTGGGTGTAGTCGAGGCACCACTCCCACCTCTCCTCTGGACTCCCAGACCCAGGTACTCACTTTGCCTATGAAAAGGCACCTTTCGTTTTTCGTTTTTGTTTGTTGTTTTTTTTTTTTTTTTGAGACAGAGTCTCACTCTGTTGCCCGGGCTAGAGTGCTGTGGCGTCAGCCTAGCTCACAGCAACCTCAAACTCCTGGGCTCAAGTAACCCTCCTGCTTCAGCCTCCTAAGTAGCTAGGACTACAGGCATGCGCCACCATGCCCGGCTAATTTTTTCTATATATTTTTAGTTGTCCAGCTAATTTCTTTCTACTTATTTTAGTAGAGACGGGGTCTCACTCTTGCTCAGGCTGGTCTCGAACTCCTGACCTCAAATGATCG